CTGTTGCAAACGTTTCTGCAACAATAGCTATGTTGCAATGATGAAGGTTGTCCGTCAGCCGCTTGATGGGGCGGGGTCTTGCGGCTCGCGACCCGGCCGATCTTTTAAAAAGATCAGCCGGCAGACGCGTAGCACGCCCCATAAAAACCACCTTAAGTTTTTTTTTTCTTTTTGCTGGAAAAATCTATCTTCAGGTTGATACAATTGATAATTATAAATTAGTATTAATAGATTCATCATGAAGTGTATTTTTAGTGAACATGCCCGTCAAGATAAATGGGTTACAAGACATGGGATAGACATATGGTTAGTAGTGGGTTAGTTTTAATCCCATGTTCAAAATGGGTGAAGGGAATGGGCTATGTAGGTGAGTCCAGGATAGGCATATGATGTTTCATGCACCTTTGATCTAAAACATAGGATGTTTGAATCAAGTTCAAAGCATATATACCAATTTGCAACAAAGACACGTGATCAAATAACAGAGTACTTCATTTTTTTGATAAAGAACAGAGTACTTCAATATATGTTGCCAACATTTTTCCTGTTATCATGCATTCTTATTGACCAATCAGCATGAAGAGGGCAGATGATTAATGACTTGCCCTAGATCATTTTCTTATATGTGATGTGCTACCCGTGGTCGTGGGAGACAACAACAATACAACACTCCGTTTTTTCTATCACAGTAGGCTGCACTTGGGCCTATCTTCATGTTCTTGCATCTAATCTCACATGACGCTAGCCCGCATTCATAGTCAGCCACACATGTTCCCTCTAGCCCTCCAGTCACCACTTCATCTGCACATACATATTAACAAATGAGATTGCTTGTTACCCTCCGCCCCACAATATAAGAGCGTTTTGCAAGCTATTGTTAGCATACAACGAAAATATAAGTTTTTCCACGCATGACTCAGCGCACTGACCTGACAGTGATACTCCTTGATAGAAGCAAAACATAAGCACGACTAGAAGAGCTGCTACGAATACGGCAGCCCTAAAACTAAGGTTGTTCTTCTTCGCAAAGGCCATTTATCTGTAGGTCAGATCAATGCCCAGTAGCTAGTTCAAGTTCTATTTCATAGCTAATATCAGTTTTTCTTGTTTACATGTCTACAACTGGATCGATATTCCCTTCTTATGTACTAAGGCAAGGAGGTACCTTGTCAGGCAAGTAGTAACTATATTTTTATCACATACCTAAATTAATTCATGTATATTTTTATAACATCCTATCCTTGTTCACACCAGATATGCGTATTTTTTATTATTACCACAATTTAGGTATTGTCTTAATCCATATAGATATAAATATCTCAAACCAGCCAAGAAGTAATTATCTCCATTTCTACCACTAACTACTTTGCAAATTCGCCGCATTGTTACACATACAAAATTACCACTGCATGTCTTAGTATCTTTTGTTTTGGTCGAGGTGTTATTGTATTTTGGTGTCACTTACTTGTTGCTATTTATTTTTGGTGGATTTATATTATTTTTTGGTCGTTTTTTCTTGCATGAGCGGTATGCGGATTGGATCCGTAATTAGGCTGTCACGGCCTTTCAGTCGTGCCTAGCTATCACGGGCTTCAAAAGCAGCTCAAACGAAACGCAATGGACACCAGCACACCACAAGGCCTAAAGCCTATGTGACAAGGCAATAATGGCAGTGCTCGGCTCAACATGAATACATGGATGGTTTGTCCATTCTTTTAAGCAATGATCCACCTCGTCGATTTTCATTAATAAACCATTAGTTTTACATAACAGAAATGCAAGCAAAATAACTGAAAAGATGGTTATGGAACTGTAAGAGAAGCAGGCCAGTAG